TATCCGAATAAAGACTCTCGGAGGTCACTTAAAATGTCTTTTAGAATTCCCTTTACAAAGTACGTTTAATAGATCAAAAAATCCAAACTTGATGGACATTGGAAGGCCCTTAGAGGTCTTTTAAAAATTCCTAAAAAAACCGAACTTTAAGATACTTGGAAGATTCTTATAGATCTTTTAAAATTCAAAAAAAAAAAAAAAAAAATCAAACATGAAAGTCAGCCCTCAGAGGTCTTTCAAAAATTCCTAAAAAATCCAAACTTGAAGGTCCTTGAAAAGTTTTTATTAGATGCCATTTAAAAATTCTTAAGAAAATTTTTGATATTTTTAAAAATGACTATCATTAGAGTCCTCTTAGGTTTTCAATAATTTAACTGTAAATTATCCTTGAGATACTATACATCCTGGAGATACTACCATTATTTGAAGGCTTTGAACATCAAAGTCCTTTCAATGGTTTCCAGATTTTTTTAAGAGATTTAAAATGTAGAGCCTATGGACGCCTCTTGAAAATGCTCTAAAAAGTTTATAAAGTGGGACTTTATCTAAATGCTTCGGGGGGAGAATTCTAAAAATCCTCGATGTACCGCTTTGATAGGATTCGAAAAATTCTTTAATTTTTCTTTAAAGTGTACGATGTAGAGGCTTCGGGAGGCCTTTAAGTTTCTTTTAAAGAGACCATTATATTGGGACTGGGAACATTAAAATGTCATATTTTTTATTATTCAAGAGGAATTAAATTTTTATCAATTATTGCTCTTGAAATATAAAATCCTTTTAGAATCCTCCATATGATTTTTTTTACGTTTTGACCTACAATTTCATTATGGTGAGAAAATTCCCACGCTAAATAGAACATCCTTTCAGCCCTAATCTCACATTAGCCTTATGGTCAGCTATAAAGCCTACCCATAATTCGCATTAAACGTGTTAAATGCCCCCCATAATCTTCCACGAGAAGGTGATAACGGTGATTAAAATAATTGTTCCGAAACTCTCAGCCTATTAAGGGTGTGTTTTTGTTCTGACTGGAATCATCCAAAGAGAGTTCACAAAATAAACAACAGCAACAACAAATTACCAATATTAAGCGCCTTTTAATGGTTCCATAAAACCAAGAAACAAATTGTTGTTGTTGGTGGTGGTCATCATTTAGTGCAACAAGAATTGGAATGCCACCTTGGACAGTGTCAATTAATGACCCAAGAAAAGCAAATATCTTCTCTGGACTACCACGACCCTACCTCGACAGACGACAGAAGCTTGCAGTCCAGGCGCATAACTGAATTGGTTGGCGGAGTTTTGGCTGTTAAGGGTAAATGAAGTGATAACCGTTTTGTTCTGAAAACTATGAAAACGCGTTCCCAAAACCAATCGGTTAAGCTGAGGTTGTTGTTGTTGGTATTTTTACGGAATTCCCAAAATACAAAAACTTGCAGGGTTAGTCCGATCGTCGTTGTCCGTGGTTGTTATGGTTGCTGCTTATCTTCTTAAGGAGTGCATGGACATTATCCTTATGTTGGCGTACGCTGTTGCTTGGCCTTGCCTTGCCTTACCTTTTGTCTGATCTTTTGTTCTTCTTGTGGTTGTTATTGTAGTTTGTCTTTTGTGTGTGTGTTTTTTGTGTTCTGTCCACAGCTATTAGAGGGGTATTTAGGTTTCCTTTTTCACGCTTTTTTAACAAACATTTCTTATTGACATCGAACACGCAAAACCTAAATGTGTGCACTCACGTGGGAAATGTGGAGTAATTAATTTATCCTCAAGTTATGGCCCATCTTTAGTGGCGGAGTTGCCTGGCTTTAACACCTTTTACCTTTTTTGCCAGGCGACAGTGTTGGCATGGGTGTGTGTGGGAAGTTGCCGGGTTTGCTTGCAGTTTAAGACCAATGCCATTCTGGAAATTTAGTTACGCTTTATCTAAAGGTGTTGTGGCTTTAGAATTTATGATGCAATTTCAATTCGCCCTGGGAAAAAAGTTGGTGAAGGTTTTAAGCGGTGGAGTAGACTGTGGAACTCTCTACGATTAGAGTAACCAAAAAAAAAACTTTTTTTGGAAAAAGAAGATTAACTAATTTTGGATTTTTAACCAGAATTTTATTTTATTTTATGAAAAATTTTTGAATGACCACCCGGACCGTGATCAAGGATTTTCTGAATGACTCCCAGCACCATAATTTTGGAAAAACCCTTTTCAAAGAATATCAGATGGTCGTTTTTGGTTTTTTTAGGAGGGCTTTTTTTGAGGACTACCGGATCCACAATAGAAGATTTTTATAAAATATTTTTATAGGACTACCAGAACATATAGAGCCATTATCGTTGTGTTTTATGAAAATTTGTTGAAGGGTTACAGGATCTTTAACCGTGGATTTATGTTAAATTTTCTGATAAATTTCTAGATCTAACATTTTTATAAAGCCTTTCTATTCGGGGATATTTCTATTCGAGGACCAATTTAGAGCTTTATTCAAAGCTTTTATCAATAATTTCATATACAGAGTGAGATGAAAAACTGCAACCAACTTCAGAATGCTGTCGTTTCCAAGCCACTCGTCCGACAGCTGTTAAAATTATTCCGGTGACAGCTCATTATATTGTATACAAGCGTACAAAAGCATTTTGGTGAGAATTTTTCAGAAAAAAAGTTATTCGCGATGAAATTCAAGCGTGATAGTGTGATTTATTTATATTTGGCTGGGAAAGCCCAAGAGGCTGTCGTTAGAGCACTCCAGCATTTAAATGTGATTAAATATTTTGTGTCTCGTACCAACGCTCGTAACCGTGATACTGGTAGCGTAGCCCGACGTCAAGGAAGTGGACGGAAGAAAACAGCAACATCAGCAGAAATCGTTCGAAGAGTAAAGAAGCGACTTGATCGAAACACGCGTTGCAGTGGCCAAAAAATGGCTTGTGAGCTGAACACATCACAATATTCAATTCGGCAAATATTGAAAAATAAGCTCAAGGTTAAGCCATTGAAATTCCAAAAAGTGCAAGAACTTACACCGCATCGGTTGCGAAAAATAGACTCAGAAGATCTAAAAAGTTGCTTCGCTTGGCCGAAAGTGGTGAACTGACGAATTTGGTTTTCTCCGATGAGAAAACATTCGTTGTCCAGCATTTTGTAAAGAAACAAAATGATGGAGTTTACTTGCCCAAGTAGGTCAGCTGAAAATGCGCACCTTCGGTTGACCACCAGAACTCAATCGGCGGCCATGGTGATTGCGTGGGCCGCCATAATAGCTGATGGTCGCTCGTATTAATCGACCGTGGTATTAGAATAAATGCCGAATGTTATCGCGAATTTATTTTGGAGGGTTTATTAAAGCCTTGGGCACGTAAACATTTTGGCCGAAATCCTTGGATATTCCAACAAGACTCAGCACCATCACACTCAGCACGCGCCACCCAAGAATGGTTGCATAATTAGGTTCCTCGCCTCATTTCCAGCACATTGGACTATTGTGTCTGGAGTATTTGGGAAAGCAAGGTTGGCACTAAAAAATACCAAAGTGTCGATCACCTCAAGCAAGTGCTTCGCCGGGAATGGGCCAAAAAAATCGCAGAGCAACATTCGAGCAGCGTGTGACGGTTTAATTGTCCGTTTTAAGGCCATAATTCGTGCCGAGGTGAACAATTCGAACAAATCTAAACTTTTTCTAAATTTTGGTACTATTTTTGACATTTTTATACCTCCACAATAGTATGGAGGGTATATTAAGTTTGTCATTTCGTTTGTAACACCTCGAAATATACATTTTAGACCCCACAAAGTATATATATATTCTTGATCAGCATGAAATTCTATGTCGATTTAACGATGTCCGTCCGTCTATCCGTCTGTAGAAATCAATCTAGCTTCCGAACAAAATGAAGTAAGTTAATAAAAATTTACTCAAATGTGTATTATGTCTGCAGGACTTTTGGTATTGAAAATGGGCCATGTAGGTCCACGTCTTCGTATAGCCCCCATACAACGGTACCTCCCGATATTCGGTATTTTGATGGTTTTAGAGACATTATTTACCGGAATTGTCTCAAATTTTGGTATTTGAAGTTCGTAATGAATATGACAGAAAATTGTCTGTGCAGGTCCACGTCTTCGTATAGCCCCCATATAACGGTACCCACCGAATTTCGGTATTTTGATGATTTCAGCGATATTATTTACCGGAACTATTTTAAATTTAGTATTTGAATTTTGTAATGAATGCTAAAGCCTGTGACAGAAAATTGTCTGTGCCATGTCCATGTCTCCGTAAAGCCCATATATAGCCCCCATATAACGGTACCTCCCGATATTCGCTATTTTGATGATTTTAGCGACATAATTTACGGAATTATTTCAAATTTTGTATTTGAAGTTCGTAATGGATACTACAGCCTATACCAGGAAATTGTCTGTGCGTATGCAGGTCCACGTCGTCGTATAGACCCTAATATACGGCTTCATTCGGTATTTTCAAGATTTTAACAAAATTTTTAATGGATTTTAATTTTTTGAAAATTGCCAAATTTGTTCAAAGTTCGGCTCGGCCGAACTTACAGGTTTTTTCCTAGTTTTGCTTTCATTCAATAAAATTTAAAGAAAAATATGGCGTTTGACTTTGTTGCAGTTATTTGTCTCACCCTGTACTTTTTAGTTATCCCCTTTTATCTTTTGATTAAATCCCTTTTTTTGATGGAAGTATCTGTGAAACTACCCAATTGCAGGTCTTATTCACAACAAAAATGTAGGGTGCAAAATAAAAATGTATATGTGTGGGAGAGAAAAAGGAGAACTTAGGAATTAAGGAATGTTTCTTTTGACAATTGGCTCATTTATATGGCCAATCAAGGTGTCGGAATGTCAGAATGGTATTCATTAATTTTCATGTTTATATCATTTTTCTCCCCCTCCATTGTGACTTTGAATTGAGCCGAAAGTTTGGGGCCAAGTATAAAAGCCTCTGCAGATTGTGGCCAGGAAATCAGTTGCATTCTAAAAGCCGGGGATAATGTTTAAGCGCATAACGTTCAGTGTGATTCTTGCCGTGTGTATATTTTTGTGTGTTCAAGCCTTGGAGGATTATGATGAAGATGATTCTGATGCTGAAGGAGATTTTCGTTCTCCAACGGGCAGTGATAAAGAACTTTCGGATATGGTAATCACCACAGCCTTGGGAAAGATACGTGGAACTTTGTTGACTTCCCAAAGGGGCCGGAATTTTTATGCTTTTCGTGGAATACGTTATGCCAAGCCACCGGTGGGTGAGCTGCGTTTTAAACCTCCCGAACCGGTGGATCAATGGTTCGATATTTTCGATGCCACTTTTGATGGTCCCATGTGTCCCCAGCCAGGTCTGAACAGTGACGATGTATCCGAAGATTGTTTGCGGGTAAATATCTATACGCGAGAACTGCCCTCCGAAAAGAATCCCAACATTAAGAAGCCGGTAATTGTTTTCATACATCCTGGAGGGTTCTATTCGCTATCGGGCCAAAGTAAAAACTTTGCTGGACCGCAATATTTTATGGATCGCAGTGTGGTATTGGTGACATTCAATTATCGTTTGGGCACCTTGGGTTTCTTGAGTACCGGCACCAAGGAAGCTCCCGGCAATTTGGGTCTCAAAGATCAAGTGGCCCTGTTACGTTGGGTAAAATTGCTTATCTCACGTTTTGGTGGTGATCCAAATGCCATTACGCTCTTGGGTTATGGTGCCGGAGCCATGAGCATTACCCTGCACATGGTGTCTCCCATGTCGAAGAATCTCTTTCACAAAGCCATCATTATGAGTGGTTCAGTAACGGGTCAGTGGAAATTACCTGAGGAACAGTTGTATGTGGCCCAGCGCCAGGCTTTGCTGTTGAAATGTCCTCTGCAAAATGTCACCTCGATGGTGGATTGTTTGAAAACGGTGAGTTGGGTTGACAAATTTTTGAATCCTTGCTGGTAATTGAGTACGGAATTTATTTGCCATAGAAACACTATTTGGAATATGCCAATACCTTGAAGGATATGTTTGAATTTGCCCGCCAAAATCCATTGATCATATGGAAGCCGGTTGTGGAGCGTGATTTTGGGCAGGAGAGGTTTCTCGTCGAGGATCCGATACGTTCATATCAAAACGGAGATTTTATGAAGATACCAATTATTACGGGCATGACCAAGGATGAATTTGTGGGACCGGCCTTGTGTAAGTTCGAATTTTTTATGACCTCCAGGATATAATAGTCAGAGCAACACCATATTCCATTTGAGCTAAAATTTTTTGGAGATATTGGAATTTTAAAATTTTATTAATAGTGTTCTATCCTCTAATCATCCTCCAAAATTCCATCTTCCCAGCTCTATTGGAGAACGAACGTTGGCTAAACTTCTTTGTGGAGAATTTCGAATTGGTGGCTCCCATATGTTTCATGTACAATCAAAGTGATTCCAAAACATCGAATATTTCCCAAGAGTTGTGGTTCCACTATTTTGGCAACAACCTTACTCTCAGTCTAGCCGATTCACTGGAAAATCTGACACAGCTATATTCCGATGCCTTGACAGGATTCTCCATACATCGTTTTGTACATCTGGCAGCACGATCCACCAAAGTCTATTATTATCGCTTTAGTTATCAGGGCCAGAAGAGTCACATATACTATCCTGACAATGGACCTTATGGTAGGTCTAATAAGGAAAAAGGTATTAACTTTTGGAGGTAATTTTTTTAAAATTGGTTCTGTTTTGAAATACAGGCGTAGTCCATCACGACGATTTGATGTATTTGTTTGTGGAACCCTCGATAAGTCGCATGTTCAATGTGGATGATGATGACTCGAGTATCGTGAATATATTTACCCGGATGATGAGTGCCTTTGCTTACAAGGGGTAAGGCAGTGAAATTTCAATTGGGGTTATGGAAATTCTTAAGATGTGTCTTCATTTTGTTTTTGTCTCAGAGATCCCAACAAACCCAGTGACAAGTATTTGCGCAACATACGCTGGCGTCCTTTCAGCTACAAGAAACAATACTATTTGGACATCGGGGATGAGATGATAATGCGTGGAGGTCTAAATACCCAGCGTTATGAGTTGTGGAAACGTCTTTTCCCTTTGAACTGGAGACGTCAAAGTAAACACGGAGTCAATGATGTGGATTATGAATGAGAGGAGATTTTTTTTTAAATTTACAAATAAATATCAAATAAATATTTGAAATGAAACCCTGATAAAAACGAGTTTCTATAGACAAGAATATGCATAAAAGGCCTTTAGGCCTTCTATTGGGCATAGAGAACCTTGAGCCTTTAGGCCTTCTATTGGGCATAGAGAACCTTGAGGTGTTTTATTTGCCTTAGAGGTCCTTGAGGTGTTCTCTTTGCCTTAGAGGACCTTGAGGTCTCCTGTGTGCTACGTAGGGCCTTGAGATCTTCAATTTCCTATAGAGGGCCTTGAGGTCGCCTATTTGAGGTCTTCTCTTTGCTATAAGGGACCTTAAGGTCTTCTATTTGCCTTAGAGAACATTGAGGTCCTGTATTTGCCTTAGATAACCTTGAGGTTTTCTTTTAGATCTAGAGGGCCTTAAGGTCTTCTATTGACCTTAGAGATCCTTGAGGTCTTCTATTGACCTAAGATAACCTTGAGGTTTTCTTTTAGCTCCAGAGGTCCTTGCGGTCTTTTATTTGCCTCAATGTACCTTGAGGTCTTCTATTGCCTATAGAGGACCTTGAGGACTTTTATTTGCTATTTACTATGACGTCTTCTATTCTATTTAGGTCTTCTATAGACGACCTTGAGGACTTCTATTGACTATGGAAGACCTTAAGGTCTTTAATATACCTTAGTGGACCCTAAAGTCTTATATTTCCAATAGAGGACTTTGAGGTCTTCTATTTGCTACAGAGGACCTTGAGGTATTTTATTTGTCTTAAAGGACCTTTATGTCTTCCAATTGCCTTTAGGTCTTTATATGGTCTTCAGTTTGCCTTGGTGGACTTTAATATCTTCTATTTTCTGTAGATGACCTTGAGGTCTTTTATTGGCCTTAGAGGACCTTGGGGTTTTCTAATTGTCTTAGAGGACCTTAGGTCTTCCATGTGACTTAGAGGACCTTGAGGTCTTCTTTTTGCTATAGTGTTCTTTTTTTATAGATGACATTGAGGGCTTCCTTTGGCCATGGAGGACCTTTGGTTCTTCTATTTACTACTTGGAGGACTTATATTTACTATTTGCTCTAGAGAAACTTAAGGTCTTCTGTTAGCCCTAGAGGAGTACTATTTGCTATAGAGTTCCTTGAGACCTTTTATATTCCTATAGAGTTCCTTGAGGACTTTGAGGCCTTCCAGTTGCTATTGAGGAATTGGAGATCTCCAAGGTATTACATCGCAAGTTGGAGACCTCAGGATGTTCTCCTACAAAAAAATAAGACCTTCAAGTTTTCTATATCAAGAACATATTGAAAATCTCAATTCCCTCCAAAGATGAAGACAAATATTCCTAACGTTCTATTAAAAAATAGTCCTGAAGCCTTAACTTTGACTATGGAAGTCCCCAAGATCATATATAAGCAATAGAGCCCCTCAAGGTCTTCTTTATATGAATGTATTATCCCTAGTCTTCCGTAAGCAAAAATCTCTTTGCCACAATAGCGAATGTCTTTCGCCCAAAAAATATCAATTGAGCTGTTACACTCTTCCAATGATGATCATCTCTGTTGACATTTGCAATGACACCAGCAAATACAACTCAATTCAATTGCTCGCAAAGCATCAACAACAACAATAACAAAAATCAAAATAAACCACAGCTCAATTGTATTGTGAGCCGCTGTCGTCATCCTCAAAATACCAAAAGCCCGACTGCGAAACAGTGCTAAAGCCGCTGGACAAGATATCCGATAGTCAGATGGGCATAGACTTGAAAAAAAAAATCCACCGAATATCTTATTTCTCAATAAAAACAAAAGAGCAATTTAAATGTCCCTGCACTCCCCCTACCGCTCCTCTGGCAGCCATGCTGCGACCCAAAGAAAAACGTTTGCAGTCCAGAAAAAAAATTCAATCATTGCCTTCCGCATGTCACAAGTGTATCAAGATTGAAGTTCATTATGCTGTGCGGAGAAGACAAACGACGGCTAGCGTGGCCAGTTTTGCCAGACCGTATGGAGTCAGTTTTTCCAAAAAGTGTTTTTTTTTGTTCCTCAACGCCTTTGACAAGCACCACTCACTCCTCGTTGGGCTGCTTCACACATCGCTTCGAAACAAATTGAATTTATTTGATTTTAGTTTGTTTCGGTTGAAGCTTCTTCAAATGTGTTGTCTGTTTGTTGTTCTTGTTGTTGTTTTTGTTTTATTTTTCTTGTTATTGAGGAAATTGATTTTGCAAGAACAACAAAGACAATGTCTACGACTAGGATGACCAGTGTTTACACCGAACAAATGTTCATCTGAATTGGCGATTTCAATCGCCCAGTATCGCACACCGGGAACAGCGTGAAATTTTCAGTTTTAAGCACGACTCTCAAATAAATTTTGTGAAAAATGCCAAACATGTTGCCCAATACCAAAGGGGGTAACAATAACAACAGCAACAACAACAACAACAACAACATGGAAAACAAGCCACAAAACACCAGAAAAGCTAAAACTTTTGTTTCGATCTATCGCTGATGTTTGTTTTGTTTTTCGTTCATTGTTGGATGCCGTAACTCTCAGAGTGCACTGAGCAGCTTAGCTTTGATATTTAGAGTCTTTGCATCGCTGCGTTAGTTTGACTCAGTCCAAACCCATGATGACCCAATAGGTGCCACATGTCAATTTGCCGCATACATGGAGCGTATATATACATATGTGAACTAAACGCACACAATAGTGTCGATGGAAAAGGTGGAAATATTAGGAGGTTCCGCTATATTTGGGTAAGACGAATAAAAATCAACGTAGAAGGCTAAACGATCTTCTTTAGCCAACAGAAAAATTAAAGGTCTTTCATAACGACCTCAAAATTTTCTGTCGACAAAAATGGTCCAATAGAAGACCTCAAGTTATTTTATAGAGAAGGACAGACCTTAAGGTGAACTAGAGCCCACAGAGACTTTAAAGTTTTAAATTTACAATAGAAGACCTTAAGGTCTTCTATAGGCAATAAAAGATCTCAAGGTCTTATATAGGCAAAAGACGACCTCAAGGTCTTATATAAGCAATAGCAGGTCTGCTATGGAAAACAGAGAAGCTCAAAATCTTCTATCGACAATAGAGAAGGTCAAAGTCTTCTATCGCCTGTAGAAGACCTCAAGGTCTTTTAGAGACAATATAAAATCTCTAGAAGACTTTGTGGTCCTCTACTAAGACATATTTAAGACCCTAAAGTCTTCTAAAGGCAGTCGAAGACCACAATGCCGTCTAGGGAAAGCAGAAGAACTGGAAGTCTTCTGTACATCCTAATAGAGGACCTCCAGCACTTTTATACACAATATAAAAACTCGGGGTCGACCGGAGACAATAGAAGAACTCAAAGTCTTTCAAAGCAATAAAGCCTTTAAGGTCTTTAAGAGGCAATAGAAGACCTTGAAGTCTACTATTTACAATGAGCTTCAAGGTCTACAGACAATGGAGGATCTCAAGGACATCTATAGCCAATAGATACATTAGAAGACAACAAAGTCTTTTAGAGACAATAGATGACCTCAAGATTTTCTAGTGACAATAGAATACTCACATGGACGTTTAGAGTCGATAGAAGACCTCAAGGACAGTAGAAGACGAAGAAGGTCTCAATGACTTTTAGACACAATAGAAGCCCTTAAGGTCTTCTAGGCACAATAGAAAACCTCAAGGTCTTCTAGAGGCAGTAGAAGACCTCAAAGTCTTCTAGAAGCAATATAAGACGTCAAGGTCTTCTAAAGGCAATAGATGACCTCAGGGTCTTCTAGACACAATAAAAGACCTCAAGGTCTTCTAGACACAATAGATGACCCCAAGGTCTTTTAGAGGCCATAGAAGACCCCAAGGTCTTCTAGGGACCATAGAAGACCCCAAGGTCTTCTAGATGCCATAGAAGACCCCAAGGTCTTCTGGAGGCAATATAAAACCGCAAGGTCTTTAGTGGCAATAGAAGACCCCAAGGTCTTCTAGAGGCAATATAAGACATCTAGGTCTTCTAGAGGCAATATAAGACAGATTTCACAGGCCTTCTACCTTTTAAAGGATTTATGTAGACATACAACCTTCTACAGGTCTTCAATAGACAGAACACCTCCTACAGGTTTTCTGTGGAACTTCTATGGGTCTTCCATGGACAGAAGACATTCTACAGATTAACATCTTCATTAGTGTTTCTTTCAGTGTACTTCGTCCTATTTCTAGCATGTGTTCTCCATATACATTCATTCATCCATAGAAGTGCCCACCAACTTTGAAGTGCCTGATAGTCTGCATATGCGTATTTTTAGCTCTGCCTGACTCTTCGACTAACTGTTTAGCATTATCTGGTTGAGTGCATATGCCAATTGGTCTTCTAGAGTCAATATAAGACCTCTAGATCTTCTAGAGGCCATAGAAGATCTCTAGAAGACTTTGTGGTCTTCTATTGCCTTCCAGAGGCTAAATATGACCTCAACGTCTTCCAGAGGTAAAATAAGACCCCATTAAATCATATAAAGCTATCAACTGAAATATCCTTAAATTATACTACAAATATATATTTTTATATATTTTCAGATCCCTGCCTTTTGGACACACATACACTAGATTTCGTACTATTCTTCTAAGGTGCATGTAAGCAAAAAATTGTATTTATTTTAGATGCTACATCCCCACCAATCAAAGACGCCAAATGTTAGGTTGCGCACACCCTTAATTTCCATATGAAGACACAAATGGTCACCCTGACCACATGTTGGCTAAAATTTTATTTCGGGATGGTGGGTACAAAAAGATCGATTGTTCATTACGATTCGCTTTACCAATTTTGAGGCCAATTTCGGCTTCTATAAAAACAAATTTTCTTCAAATCGGAAATTATTGCAGAGAATTGTTCCTTATAAAAATCAAGAACTACCCTAATACCCACACTTCACTTGAGGAGTTTTATGTAAAACGAAACATTGTCGTTTTTTGTTTTTTAGTTTTTGGCCACAAACTATTGCCACTTTTGATAGAAGTTTTCTT